AGCCTTTCAAGTTGGGTGGATTAGGCTTTTGGATAGTATGGCTCGGGGCTCGTTCTTGGTTAGATGGGATATCTGGAGGTGGTGGAGGAGGCATAAGAAGGTTTCTTTGGAGTAGAGCGTTAATCAGGGCTTGGTTTTGCTCGGCCAGGCGGTTAATGCTGTTGGTGAGCTCGGTGAAATATCGTGGTGGGTTGTTTGGATTGGGAGGGTCGGCTTCGTGGTCGGCAACATTGTGGTGGGAAGCCATGGATCTAGTTGTGACCATCCACCTTCGCAGGTGGTAGGAATAGGTTATTGGGAAGGGGCCTCCGGCGACAATGACCACAATTGGCACGCGGAGTAAGAGGTTTCCCACAGACGGCGCCAACTGATGATACAATGTGTTCTAGATGAAACGGGTCGGACTGATCCACGCTTTCCAAACCAGTATCTGAATGACCAAGCCCGCAGAGGAACCTGCACAAGAGTTCAACAGGGAACGGGGAGTCCCCCGGTGAACTCTTCGACGAGCAAGTTAGAAAGAGAGGTGGAGTATAGAGATAGACTAGAGATAGAAAGCTTAACCTTCTTCTTGTCTTCGACGTCTACTTATATCCTCTAGTAATCATTTCGTTGTCCTTTTCGACCTATCGCCGTGGTCGAAAGTCTATGCTCTAGCTTGCCTTGTTCATGGTGAGGCCGTTCTGTCTCAACGGGAAGGGCTTATCCCAATAAATGTTGTAAGGGCCTTCATCAATGTCATGTTGAGCTCCAGCGACGTTGGGCTTTAATATTTGAGTTATGTATTGGGCCCTAAACGGTGGGCTATGTCCTTTATGGGCCTACCCGTGTCATATATATTGGTCAGTAGTATGATGGGTCGTGGTTCCTCTATCAGTTACAAGGTAGTGATTGCTAAGAGGGTGAAGGTAATCCAATTTGTCTATGCTATTTTTTAGGCCTTCATACAAAATTTTAAAATTTTGTTTTGGTTTTTTTAAGAAAAAATTTCACTAAATACAATTATAATTATTTTATTTTATTTTATAAAATTGGCATTTTTAGTAATATTTTCAATCATCTTAAAATTACACTTTTTTTTTTTAATTACATTATATTTCATTCAGAAAGCCCTTCTCTCTTTCCTTTTTCTTCAGAAATCTTTACATAATCCAAAAGCAAAAATGATATATGCTTAATGAAATTTTCTACATAATTTATAATAAGAATGATATGACAGTAACATTTGTGAAATTAGGACAATAATAGTGAGTGTTTTCATTGTTAATGAGATCAAAGGGTGCCATATTATTTTGTATGAAAATTTTGTATATTATTACTCAAAATTGGGCATTTGGTTCATAAATCCAATTCTGAATTTTCTTTACCTAAAGGTTCATACACTAAAATACTTTGCCTATAAGGACAAGTTCTTATAAAACGACCAAATTACCCATGTATATATATTTAGGTTATACAGTGAAAAAAGAAAATCAAATCTTACTTCTCGCTCTTCTCTCTCTCTTCAGAAAATCATAGCCTCTTTTTCTCTAACTCTCTCTCTCTCTCACTCTCACTCTTCTTTCTCTCTTTATCTCCAACATCACTACCACTATCTTAAAGCCACCGTCTTCGACACCAACCCCAACACCACCATCACCATCTTAAACGCCGCTCTCTTTTCTCTTTCTTTTCATCTCCGACACTACCACCACCGTCCTTTCCCCCAACACCACCATGGTTGTCTCAACCGCCGACAATCTCAGATCTGAAATAGATTTACGATTTTTGATTTGGTCGCTGCCTCCATTTTCAATCTCAGATCTATTGTTGTTGTTGTTGATCGAGTTGGTAAGTTTTAGTGAAAGATAGTGATTAGCATTTGATAAAGATGGGGTGATGGTCGCTGTTAAAACAAGAGTCACAGTTATAGTAGAGGTAGATGAGGCTTGGGTCCATTTATATATAAAAACAAAAAAACAACATTAAAGCTTACTATTCTAATTAGTCTCTCTTCTTCATTGTAAAATAGGAAGTTCATATGTATATATATATACATATATTTGGTTCATTATTAAGACAGGGGTCTACAGTAGAGGTATATGAGGCTTAGGCTCATTTATATACGAGAATACAAAAGTAACAGTATAACTTAGGCCTCGTTTGATAAGTTAACATTTTAGTTAAAAAGTCAAAAAGTTATTAAAAATTTCAAAAAGTTTATAACTTATACAAAAAAGTCAAAGATTTCATTTTCTCTCTACTTTTTGCACATCTTTTCATAAAAAGTCAAAAAATTACCCTAAACATACTAATTTTTTTTACCTCATATTTTAACAAAAAATTTAAAAAATTACTAAAATAATCTGTTCTCAAATGAGGGCTTACTATTCTAATTAGTCTCTCTTCTTCATTGTAAAATAAGAAGTTCATATATATATATATATATATATAATATTGTATAGATATACATTTGATTTGATTTGTTTATTTATTTATTTATTTTGGTGCTTTGTATTTGAAATTGTTGAATCCATGTCTGGATATATTTGTTGTTTTTTTTTGGTTTGTTTGTAGTTATTGATTGTTGTTGTGTTGATGTTGATATTGATGAAACAGATTGCAAATATATAGGCTCAATAGATAGTTAGGTTCAACAGATTCGTATGTTTGATTTCACACATAGAGAGAAAGTACATTTAGCAGATTAGATATAAAAATTGAACAAATAGGTAAACAAATTCAACAGCTAAAAAAGATGTTTGATGGCTCTGCAAAATTTGTGCAAATCAAAAATTATACAGATGAAAATTTGTAAAGATAAAATTTGGATAGAAAATTTGTACATATAAAAATATTGAATAGATAAAAAATTAGATAGGTAACATTTGGAAAAATAGAAAATTTGCAAAGAAAAATTTGAATAGATAGAAAATTTACACAGAAAAATGAACAGATAGATAAAAAAAATTGAACAAATGGTCAACGAAAAGTCAAACAAATAAAAAAAGAGTTAATGAGTAAAATTGAAAATAAAATATTTTTTTAGGACTTTTTACCAAATTATTTTACAAAGTGTAAATCTCTCTCCAACCAAAAAAAAATAATAATAATGTTACTATTGGATTTTCCCCCAATTTTTCCCTTAAAATTCATACACAGGAAGGAAAATGCTCAGCTCACCCCTATCAGATTCTGAACCAAAGTTCCACGCCCATCATAGGCCACACAATGGCCTCGTTTGGTGTAACTGTTACAACAACTTATAGATTATAACTTAACAGATTATAGATTATGATTTTAATAAGAAGTTGTTAATCTGTTTGGTGTAGCTGTTGGATTATAGATTTAAATTGCTGAGTAGTGTTTGTTAAATAAACTGTGAAATAGCTTTTTCAATTAATTTTTATTTTTTGTTATTTACTACTTGTCTATATTTCTCATAAACAATAATAATAATAATCTATAGTCCATTTGAGTCTTTTTCTATTTTTAAAAAAATAAAAAATAAAAAAATCTAAGAGTATAATCATATATTAACATGCCAAAATTAAGAGTATAACTATAAATTAACATGTCCACAGCAGAAGCTGATAATCAGAAGCAAGGGTGAACAGCTTCTCAGAATCAGCTTTTTTGAGTTAAAATAAGCTGTTAGAATCAGAAGCTGTTTGAAATAAGTTTAACCAAACAGTCTAAAATAACTTTTTTAAAGCTAAAAACTATAAGTTAGCTTTAAAAAGCTGAAACAAATATCCCCAATGCCTTTTAATGTTAGTGGGTTCTGTAGCTGTGGCATTTGGGTGCAATTTGTACTTGGGTTGGACTGCTTGTTTTGCTTTTGAAGCTTAAGAAAAGTTTGGGCTCCTACAATCGCCTAGAACCCATCTTTATTGGGCCAAGATGGGTAAGCCCAATATTACCTACGAGCGTTATGTAATTTGTTCAGAGCAAGGATCCTCTAGAGTGATTTTTCTCTAAAGTTTCCTAAAGTGCTACATTGTGTGGTTGAGATTTATTGGCAAGTCACATCAATTTTTCTGATGTGACTTACCAGTAAATCTCAACCACACAATATAGCACTCTAGGAAACTTTAGGAAAATTTCACTCTAGAGGATCTTTGGTGATTTGTTCAACCCAATAATGAGCGCCGACTCGCCGTATCTTTCACTAGTGTAGGGTCTCTATGTAAATATCTTTTTAAATAACTTCCAGATGCTGTGATTTTCTTAAAATATTAAATATTTTATGTGATTATGAAAATTATATTATATATATTTTTTAATTTTTAATTACATAATAAATAGTTTTTTATTAATAAATAATTAAGTCAATTAATAATTTTTAATAATATGATAAATATGTTTTAATTAATAATTATTAGAAAGGTGCATGCAAGTGTGTAACATATTATTATTCAAATATGAAAATAAACCTACAAATTTGATTTTGAAAATTTGAAATTGCTATGACAGTTAAACTGCCGTGAAGAATGTGTGTATAGATGTAGGAATTTTATTTATTATTATTATTCCATTTAGACCTTACTTAATACAATAGTATTAATGATAAATATGTTTTAATTAATAATTATAGTAATATAAAATAATAATTAAGACATTTAATTTTTATTTTATAATTTTTTCCAAAAAGGTTGGGTTTATCTTCACTTCGTTTAAGAACTTGAGAGGTTCATGAAATACTATAGATCCTATTTTAATAATTCGGATAGATTTTTTTATTGTATATATTACTCATAGCAAAAATTAAATTAATATAATAATTATAACATTTTTATTTTCGATAAACTGACACAAAAGCCCCTCCAGGGATATATTGGGAAACCGAATAGATTTTGCCCTAAGATCACCGCATAATTTTCCCTCATCCACGCGGCTAAGCTACGTGAACCGTGAAGTTTTGGAGCAATGAAGTTTCGGACCCACACGTGTCTCATTACTGTAGCTCAATAATCCTACGTGTCTCGCGCATTATATATAGATATCTAATAATGATAGTTCATTATCTAATAATGATAGTTCATTTACATTTCTATTTTCAAATTAGTCTTTCGATTTGCCCTGTGATTTTTGGAATATCTGATTGATCTGACTCTCTTCGCAATCCAGTGTCTTTCGATTTGCTCTGTGATTTTTGGGAATCTCTGATTGATCTGACTCTCTTCGCAATCCAGTGACTTTCTCTCTCTCTAGCTCTCGTTCTCTCGCTTTCGTCGGCTTCAATCACCTCAATTTTCTAGGTATTTCATACAGATTTGGGTATATAACATCGTAAAATTGTTGGGTTAGCTCTTCTTCTTGTTATTGTTCTGTAGTTGTTCAACTGTACAATTCTCATGATTGTCGTTTCTTTTCCACTATTTTGAGTAGCTGAAACGTTTGTAAGATTCTTGAATTTGTCTTCACATTGATTTCTTTATCTTTCATGTTCTGAAATTTGGCACCTATCTATCTCTATATATATGAAAATGGGTATTATGCATTTGTGTCTATATGTACAGATATGGGAACAGGTAGTTTAATTTAGAGTTTTCTTTTTAATCTATGAATTTATCTGATATGTTATGTTGCTTCATTGATCTTTCTTTTTCTCTTTTAAGCGATGGAGAACCTAATTCTGTTAGGTTCTGAAACCGGTTTGGCACACCAACAAGCAATCACACAAGAGATTTACGTGGTTCAGTAATATGCTACGATCACGGACAGAGATTTCTCACTATAGAGTTTCCCAGTGGGAGATTACAACCCACACCTCACAACCCTCTATAACTCACTCTCTTACACACAGATTATACACTCTGTGTTTGTTCCTCACACCCTACTCTCTGCTCTACCCTCTCCTATCTCTCCCCTTTATATACACAGAGGAGGTGAAGAGAAAGGAAGAACAAGAGAGAGACAACATCATTTCATTTTCTCCTTTTGGTGGAAGAAATTCAACACACATGTGGATGAGCTGGCGTAGCACATGGCCAGCTTATTCGTCCTTTCAGTGCTCCACTTTCTCTCCCACATGCAGAAATGAGCTAGAAGTCAACAATTCTCCTCCTCCACGCTCATCTGCATGGCCAACTTTTTACTTGAAGTCCATCCCGGTCAAATTCTAGCAAACTTCCAATTTGTCTTTAGTGACAACCTTGGTCATCATGTCTGAAAGATTCTTGTTTGTGTGAATCTTCACCAGCTTTATTGCTTTTCTATCACTTCTCGTATCCAATGTTACTGGACATCAATGTGCTTTGTACGAAAATGGTACATGGAATTCTTGCTCAGATCAATTGCACCCTGACTAGAACAATGTACCTTGTACTCTTTCTGCTGTAGACCCAATTCTTGGAGAAACCCCTTCAACCATAACATTTCCTTTCTGGCATCTGCGACAGCAATGTACTCTGCCTCTGTTGTAGATAAAACAACACACTTTTGCAATTTGGACTGCCATGAAACAGTTCCCTCTGCAAAAGTGAACAGAAATCCTGATATATATTTTTTTACCATCAAGATCACCTGCCATATCGGCATCTGTAAAACCCTCCAAAATTGGTTTACCTTCCCCAAAACATAGGCACATCTTTGAAGTTCTCTTCAAGTATCGAAGAATCCATTTGACCGCCCCCCAATGCTCCTTTCTTGGATTGGTGAGGAACTTGCTCACAACGCCAACTGCGTGAGCTATATTTGGCTAGTTACACACCATTGCATACATCAAACTTCCTACTGTGAAGGAATAGGGGTTGCCTCCATTTATTTCCTTTCAGAGCTGGTTGTGGGATATGAACACTTTGCCACTTTGAAATGGTTGGTTAGTGGTGTGCTGACTGGCTTGGCATCCTTCATGTTGAACTTTTCAATCACATGTTCAACATATTTCTCCTGTAACAACCATATCTTCTTGGCTTTCCAGTAACGAATACTCTTCATCCCAAAATTTGCTTTGCTGGGCCTAAAATTTTCATGTCAAAATACTACAAGTCCTTTTTCGACTTGTTGATCATAGTAATATCCTATCTGATGATCAGCATATCATCGATATACAACAGTAGGATGATGAAGTTTCCATCTGAAAACCTTCGAAAGTATACACACTGGTCTGCTACTGTTCTGTGGTACTCGTGATCAATCATGAATGAATCAAACTTTTTGTACCATTGTCTTGGCGCTTGCTTCAGGCCATGGAGACTCTTCTTTAGTTTGCAGATTCGGTTCTCTTTTCCTTTAACTTCAAAACCCTCTGATTGCTCTATGTAGATCTCTTCCTCTAAATCACCATAGAGAAAGGCAATTTTGACATCCATCTGTTCTAGCTCCAGATTTAAGCGAGCTGCTAATCCCAAAGCTATTTTGCCCAAAATCTTTAACCACCAAGCAAGCTTTATGCTGAAGTAGTTTTCCGCGGCCGTCTTTCTTGAACTTGTACACCTAAGCTGTCCTGCTTCTTAGAAGTGGAACAAGCTTATAAGTGTGGTTCTTCTGCAAAAAACTCATCACCTCCTTCATGGCTTGCATCTAGCAGTCTTTCTCTGTATAACTCTTCATTTTTGAAAACTCTCTAGCTCCTCCTCATCAGTAATCAGAATATACTGAGAAGTAGGATATTTGGTTGATGGCATGGCAGCTCTTTTTGATCTCTGCAACTGAGGTCCTGTTGCTTTCAGTGGAGGGGGTTGCTCTCCCTGCTCAACACCCTCTTCATTTGGGTTTTCATCTCTTTCCCCTCCTAATCCTCATCTTCTGGTGTAAGATCCTACAACTCTAGCACTTCTGGTTGCACCCCATCAGATCTAGCATGTTGTGATGGTTTGGGAGATGGAAACAAGTCCGGAGTGATGACAACTCTAGACTTTGCAGACTTTTTAAAAGCTGCTATAGTTTGGTCTTCATTGAACACAACATCTCTGCTCCTGAATATCTTCTTGTTCATTGGGTCTCACAACTTGTACCCAAGCGCTGCATCTGAATAGCCCACAAATATACATGGAGTGGACTTGTCATAAAGCTCCTATCTATTTTCTTTGAGATGTGTGCAAACGCCTTACACCAAAAAATTCTCAAGTGAGAATATGATACCTTTCTTCTAGACCAGACTTCCTCAGGTATCTCGAAGTTCAATGGGATTGAAGGTGACCTGTTGATGAGATAACAGGCTGTACGGGCGACTTTAGCCCATAATGACTTTGGCAACTTTGCCATTTTGAGTATGCATTTAACTCTTTCTACAATAGTGCAGTTCATCCTCTTTGACACACCATTGTGTTGTGGGGTGTCGGGAACTGTTGTCTCGTGCCGGATAGCTCTACTGGCACAGTATGCTTCAAAAATATTGGAAGTGTACTCGCCACCATTGTTTGTGCAAAGACACTTCAATTTCTTCCCGGTCTCTCTTTCCACCATAGCATGGAACTCTTGAAAGTATTAGAATACCTCATCCTTTGTCTTCAAGAAATACACCCATAACTTCCTTGATGCATCATCAATGAAAGTCAAAAAATATTTGCGCGAAGTGACTCCACTTCTATGAAGCCACAAACATCTGAGTAGACAATGCTGAGCACTTTTGATTTCCTCTTGCTCGTTGAACTGAAGGCTACTCAATGTTGCTTACCATATAGGCACTGATCACACGGCTTACGGGCATTACCCTTAGACAAGGGTATCCTGGATTACTTCGCCAACAGATGCAATCCCTTCTCACTCACGTGAGCTAGTTTTTTGTGCCATAAGTCTGGTGACTCCTTGTCCTCTACTACATTAAGACTCTTTGGACAGATCTTCGTTTGAGTCTTGTACAGTATGGAAGACACTTCTCCTCTGGCAATTGTCAAAGCTCCTCCTGTTAGCGTCCAATGGCCATTACTGAATGTACTTGTATAGCCCTGTCAGTCCAGGGCACTTCCAAAGATAAAATTGAGGTGTAAATCTGAAACATGCCTCGTATCTTTGAGAACCAGCTTGTGTCTAACATTAGTTCGAATGCTAATGTCTCTAATACCCACAATCTTCGAATAGCTAGAATTTCCCATTTGAATAGTGCCAAAATCTCTAGCGTTGTACGAGCTGAAGAGTTCTCTGTGGGCAGTAGCGTGATAGGATGCAACTGTGTGTATCACCCACTTTGTGTAGCTGTGGTCAGCCATGTGAAGGCAATCATCCTCTTCACCAATTGCAAGACGTATTTCATCAGTTGTTGTGGCTGTCGTGTTCTCATCTCCCTTTGATTTATTGCTTTGGCCTTTATCTTTCCGGCGTGGGCAGTTCCTCTTTATGTGATCCTCCTTACCACAGTGAAAACAAGTGAAGCTGGAGTTTCCTTGACCTTTGCTGTCTCTAGATTTACTACTATTGTTCCATTTGCCTCTGCTCTTGCTTCTTCCTCTGTTGTTTCCTCTACCTTTGTCTCTGTCTCTGCCTCTGCCTCTGTCTTTGCCTTATGTGACAAGAGCATGGATCTGGTTACCCCCTATGTCTTTCTTTCTTGTCTTTTCATTGTATAAGGCTTCTGTGACCGTGACCATGCTCATGCTCAGCTTCCCTTCTGGTGCAGAGTTGTTGAGAGAAACCACCAATGTCTCCCAGTTGTCTGGTAAGAAGCTAAGCAATAATGCGGCTTGCATTTTATCATCCAAGTGCATCTTAACGGTTGCAAGCTGATTCACCAAACTTTTGAATTCACTGGTGTGTTTGGCGACATACACACCATTTTTCAACTTTAGATTTACAAGCATTCTCATTACCAAGACTTTGTTTCGAGAGGTCTTTGACTGGTACATGTCTTCTAACATTGTCCAAAGGACATAGGCATCTGTCTCCTGGGCGACATAGTAGAACACACTATGGTCTATCTATTGTTTGATCTGACTGACAGTCTTTCAATTCATCTTTATCCAGTCTACATCCTTTTCTGCTTCTGATTTATTCCCTCTTAGAGTAATAGGGTCAAACAGGTCTCTACAGTATAAGATGTCTTCCATCTGCGGCTTCCAGGTTGCATAATTGGAAGCATTCAACCTGATCATGGACCCTGGAGTTGATGTGGATTCCTCCATCATCTTCTTTCTTTTCACAAAAACTTTGAATCAAAAATTTGACCGTGAGGATGTGTCTAGAATACTCCAAATAGTTGGAAACCACTATTGGATCGCCAAAATCGGACTTCAAATTGCACAGATCTAGCGAAAGATCAATACCTGTAACTTAGCCGCGTAGCACCAGATAACTCCTCTGCCTTTTGGGTCAAGTCGGATCACGGTCGGGTTTGGTCAACCCAGTTGACCTGTGTTGCTGACGTGGCAGTTGCGTGGCACTGACACATAGTGTTGACTTGGTGACATATGGCAGACAGCTGGCTGCTGATGTGGCAGAGACACGTGGTAGCAAGTTACTAGCGGTGGTGCAGCTCGACTTGGCGCGGCTGACGTCAGCCTGACATCACTCGCACACGTAGTTGACTCGTTTTTTTCCTCCAGCTGGCACGTGAAGCGCATGGTTGCAACTGGGCTTCACTCGCCGATTTTAGGTGGCGTGTGTGGTGGATTCTGGTGCTCTGGTTTGCAGTTATGGACTCCTCTTGTCGAGGCGATACTCCTGGTGTGTTCAAAACTTGATTTCGACAACTTCGAAATTTGACAGTTTCTGAAAAAAAGGCACACGTCCACGGAGAGAGATTTCTCGCTATAGAATTTTCCGTAGGGAGATTACAACTCACAGCTCACAACCCTCTATAGAACTCACTCTCTTACACAAATTATACACACTATGTTTGTGCTCACACACCACTCTCTGCTCTACCCTCTCATATCCCTCCCCTTTATATACACAGAGGAGTTGAAGAGAGAGAGAGACAACATCATTTCATTTCTCCTTTCAGCGGAAGAAATTCAACACACATATGGAGGAGCTGGCCTGGCACATGGCCATCTTATTCTTCCTTTCAGTGCTCCACTTTGTCTCCCACATGCAAAAATGAGCTGGAAGTCAACAAATTCCTTTTAAAAGGATTTGGTAGTGTATGCGGTGGATACAAATACAATGCGTTTGCAATTTTATATTTAAAATTTCGGTTGGGTGATTCGATGAATGAGAAAAAATAGTTTAGCTGTTATTAGATGTGAAGGGCATTTAAAAAAAAAAAAAAAAAAACCCTTGATAGTATTCACAACAAATGGGGTCCATGCTTTTATATAATACAATAGATATGGTATTAGAATTGTTTTGAGGCATCCAACCCAAAATCAATAACCATGCTTGGGCGGCTTAGGGGGGTAGGAGAGAAATGGACCCAGGCGAAGACTTGGTTCACTAGAGATCACCCTAAACCTAAACCATCTCCAATATCATTTTAGAATTATTGGAGACATTCAATTCAAATTCAAAATCAATTGGCATTGAGTGGATGATTTCTAAATTATATAGACCAAGCTGCTTGGTTGGTTTAGGGAGAAAATATGGGACCAGTGTCTGACACTTCCTACATTTGCGGTCCAATCGCATTTGGAGGTGACAAAGATGAGAGACGAGAGAAATCTACATATATATTAACTTATGAATTGATGGTTTGATTTTGTGATGTGATTTCTTCCTTTAATCTATGAATTGTCTGATATGTTACATCATTACTCTCTCTCTCTCTCTCTCTCTCTCTTTTCATTTAAGTGATTGAGGGTTTAATTTTGTTTCACACTCTAGTTGCCTGTAAAGCTATGGTGAAGGAGACTGAGTATTACGACATATTAGGAGTCACTGTGAACGCAACTCCAGCTGAGATTAAGAAGGCTTACTACCTCAAGGTAAGCCGTGTACCTCATTATCTAGAATGGTTGGTTGGATATGAATTTGTTTTCATAAATTTTGAGACAACCCTTGCTATGTTTGGATGGTTGAGTTCAATTGTGATTGCTACCTAAGACGTGTTCAATTCAGAAAGATATTTGAACAAGATTTTAGAATTCAATTTTTGTAATTTTAAGTGTACTGAACCTTCAAGTATTTCTTTTGTTTCCTTGTGAGGATATTTTTTGTTGTTGATTTTAATAATTTGAGAATAATATTAATGACATTCACTACTACATTTCATGCATGACATAATTTCGTGTCTTCTGTTTTAGGCAAGGTCAGTTCATCCAGATAAAAATCCTGGTGATCCAAAAGCTGCCCACAATTTTCAGGTAATGCATCTGGCTTGATTTTCTTCAGCATTTTTAATTTCTTTTTCTTATGTGATAATGAATTTGATAATTAAGATATTATAATGTATAATTCTTTACTTCTTACCTTAGTATCAATTAATTTGTCTATTTAAATCTGGAATCCTGAAAATTATTTGGCTTGCTCACATCCTATGTTACATGGACTCTTCAAATTAAATCAAATACCCGTGTCGGACACCCGACACTCGGACAAGGGTATGGGATATGTGTCGGATACTCACATCTCTAGTTCAAAATAAGTATTGATTTAATTTCCTGCTGGTTGTTGATCATATGCATTGCAACTAAACTTCCTAACCTTTAAGTTACTTTATGTTTATCTAGCTTTACAGCGGGGTACCATGAAAGTAAATAAATAAAATGGAAGGAGAAAAAGAAAAATCTTCTCTAGTAGCAACCTTGTACCTTATTTGCAATTATTTTTTTGGTTATGCTTTCATGTATTCAGGTCCTTGGGGAGGCTTATCAAGTTCTAGGTGATCCTGGGAAGCGTGAAGCATATGACAAATATGGAAAGGATGGAATACCACAGTAAGTATTTATGACAGACAAAAGATATAGAGCTTCGCAGGGCTTGTGGATAGACATAGAAAAAACGGCGTTCTTTTGATCATTTGCTTTTGTATTGTGCAAGAATAGCTTATTTTACTGTTTTATTTCCATGTTCTAGGGACTCAATGGTGGATCCTTCGGCTGTATTTGGAATGCTTTTTGGGAGTGAATTCTTTGAGGATTATGTTGGGCAACTTGCACTAGCTTCCATGGCAACTGTTGAGATTGAGGAAGACTCGCAGGTTCCTCCTGAAGTCCGGAAGCAAAAAGTTCAGGAGAAGTTGAAGGTATATTTCTGTTGTGCTACATTTGGTTCATTGGAATAAGTTGGAATGGAATGATAATTTTTTAAATTTGGTTCAATAAATTTTTTTGAAAAATTCGTTGCAAATGGAGTCGTCATTCATCAGGGAATGGTCATTCTATAAGAAGACTAAGAAATGATCATTCCATTCCAATCCACCTTCATTCTGGTGAACCAAACACTACCCAATCTATAAATTAATCAGTACACTTGTGTTAAAACCTCTGTCTGCTTTCAATGTACAGGCATTGCAGAAGGAAAGGGAAGAAAAGCTAATTACATTTCTGAAAAATCGACTTGAACCATTTGTTGAAGGTCAAACCAAGGAGTTCGTGGATTGGGCAAAATCAGAAGCTCATCAGCTTTCACAAGCTGGTAAGCTGTTCCTCTTTTCCCTTGTATATCTCATCCTATTGCAACTTCAGAACATTGGAGACTTCCAGTTGGTACTTTCTGCAAACTAATTTTTGTTCTTAAATTTGTTTAGTCCTGTTCTTTTATTGCTTCAGAGACTTCATGACCTTTGAATGTTTTGCTTTTTCATTATTGGAAGAAAGATGTTTGAACTAATTTAAGATAGGACTTCCCCTTTAATTGACAATTTTCTACATCTAGGTAACTTCTTAAATTTGCTACAAGCATTTGTACATGTCCAAGCAATGGTTGGGAAATTCTTAACAGAGTCTGTATATGACGTTATAATATTTGGGTCAATGTTTTATATTTGTACATGTCCAAGCAATGGTCGTGAAATTCTTAACAGAGTCTGTATATGACGTTATAATATTTTGGTCAATGTTTTAAAATTAAAACTAGTTGAATAACCTGGCCCACTGGTGGTGAGTCACCAACATATTCTTCAACCTAATTCTAATTTTAGTGACTTTAATTTTAATATACGGGTGTATTCCTTGTCATTGCATCTGCAAAGATATATCAAATAAATGAAAAAATTCCTGAAATAACAGTCATTGCTTTAATGAAAGGAAAGGGGGGGGGGGGGGGGGGGATGTTATTTTGAATGCCATGTTGCTTTTTCACTTCCTATTAACTTGTATTTGATATAAATTCAGCATTTGGTGAAGCTATGCTACATACTATTGGTTACATTTACACAAGGCAAGCTTCAAGAGAACTTGGGAAGGACAAACGGTATATGAAGGTGCCATTTTTAGCAGAATGGGTCCGAGACAAAGGACACCAGATAAAATCGCAAGTTATGGCAGCTTCAGGTAACAATATTTTTGCCACAAAAAAAAAAAAAAAAAAAAAAAATTTTGCCAAAAAAAAAAAAAAAAAAAAAAGAAGTTTCATTATTGTTCTTCATATCAACCCAACTATATTAAATGTTTCGCTATGCATAGGTGCTGTGTCTTTAATTCAAATACAGGAGGAGCTGAAGAAGGTGAACCAAGGAGAAAACAAAGAAGAAAACTTAATGAAAGCCATGGAAGATAAGAAAGACATAATGCTTAATTCGCTTTGGCAAATCAATGTGGTTGATATTGAGTCGACTTTATCACGTGTGTGTCAAGCAGTAAGTTCCAACTTTGAATTTACGTTGTGCTTAAGCCAAAGAAGTAGTGAGTTATGCGGATTTTTATGACAGCATATAATTATATTTGGAGATTCATACCATCTCTTGATGATCGGTTAATGCAGTTATCTGCCATTTAATTTAAATTCTGTCTGCAAAGAATATTTTCCTTCAAAAAGTTAAACATGAAAAATAAGAATGAGTAATATTTATGTTTCGTGGAAGTGATGTTGATTTCTCTTCCATTTCAGGTGCTTAAAGACCCTAGTGTTTCAAAGGATGTTCTCAAGCTACGGGCCAAAGGGATGAAAAAGCTTGGGACCATTTTCCAAGTAAGTGCTGGTTTGCTTGGCCTCTTTTCATACAATTAGCAGTGCAATTGGAACAGTCTTGCATTAAAACTTCATCATGTCTTTAAACTACACTCTGCCTTGCGTCGGTTTCATTTTCAAAACTGTTTTCTGTTCTCTAAAATAGAAAAATGTAAACTGATACAAAAAGCTTGATTAGGAAATTTGTAGGAAAACTTAATTAAAGCTACTGATACAGTTTCCTACTACTATTTTTAGGAAAATTTTCTGTGACAGCTCATCTTTAGGAAGAAGTTTTAATTTTAATTTTTTTTTTCAAAATTTGAAAACTTGTTTTCCATAATAAAAAAAAAGAAAAAGAATAAGAAAAAGAAAAAGAAAGCGGGTAGGAAAGAAAGTTAGCATTTGGTTTACTTTTCAAAACTCAACTCTGTTTTTAAATCATGATTTGAATGAAATATGTTAACCAAACATAATTTTAAAATACAACTCAAAATTACTTTCAAAACTCCTCTCTTCTCTTTTTTATTTTTTATTTTTTTTATTTTATATATTATTATTCAATCAATCAATCACTCTTTCTCTCTCATCTCTCCTCTCTCTTCTCACATTCTATATATCAATCAATCAAAAAAAAAAAAAAAAAAAAAAAATTACAAATCATCCCAAAACTATTTTCAAATCTTTTAACCAAACAAATTTTCTCTTTTCAAATCATGATTCAAAAACTCAAAACTCAAAACACAACTCCACACTCAAATCATAATTTTAAAACTAAACCAGACGGACCTTGTTTTCAAAGTTCCATTTATTTTTATTTCCAAAAACACAAAATATGAAACCAAACAGTTCAAACTCTTGGCCACTTTTCTATGAACATGAAGTTGAATTTTAGAGAACAATTTTGGAAGAGAAGGTGAAGAAGATGAAAAGGAATGCCCACGGGGCAATCAATTTAAAGAAACAAAAATATGTACTACAGACAACAGAAGGCAAAGTTGGAAGTAAATTTTCAATGGAAAAAGATGTCCCAATTCTCAGTATGGTATGTCTTAAGTACCTTTAATTTGTAAGATTGTTAATATTTCAGGAGGCAAAATAAGTTCCAGTTTCTCTGAACAGACCGAAAATTATGTCCTGTTTTGGATGTCCTTGGATAGTCAATAAGAGCTGTGAGCTCTCTGGTTTTGTTATTTACTACTTGATCGAGGTTTAGAGGTTTAAAACTTTGCTTGTCTTGGGTTTTGAAAGGTTAACTATTGCTTGACAAGTGACATGGTTGTATGAGATTTAAACAACTCTACCCCTATCATACCACATTTTAAAGACTCTGGTGTACACCAAGTTCCCGATCCCATTCCACGTACTGAAACAATTCACATTCCAAGAAAAATGGGTTTAACTTCCCCTTCAATAATGAAAGGCACTAAGTTTCTAACAACTAAAAACGAGAGATTAAATTTGCACAAGTGAATGATTTTAAATTACTTGAACAGTTCAAATGTTGTTCCATCTTGTAGATATGATCTTGTGAACAGAAGATAACTCTTAATTATAATGGGATCAAGTTTGCATCAGTATGATTCTGTTGTTAGTTTATATTGAATAAAAGTTCTTGATTGCTTCTCAGGGTATCAAGTCCATTTATAAAAGAGAGAACAGTTTACGCCATGAAACTGCCAACATGGTGGATGCTGATACGTCGTCCAAGAAATGCTGATCTAATACCTCCTTCAAGTTCCTTGCTGTATGCTGTGTGTGTATTAGTAGTTGTTTGTCTCGCTTTAATTGCTTCATGCTCATTTCTTGAACCTGGAACAATGCATGAACTATTGATTGATTGTGTATTTTGTCGTGTTTGCCCCTTTAACGTGGTTCATCCTCAACCAAGTGGTTCACAACTAGTGTAGCCTTGTAATACTAGTAAATTGTTCGATCAAGTATTGACTGGGAAACCTATCTTTGTTCATTTCGGTCTTTAATGTTTCATTTCAAGCTTGAGTTTAGATGTCTTGTAGAGAGCTGCAGGACACCAAGATTGAGCACCTGAACTTATGGTAGGGGTAGGAATGTAATTGGCTTGTCAGAATTCCGTACTCCAGGAACAGGGAGGACTACTCTGCACCAGTTCAGGTGACCATGGTACCAATGAATTGCGGAGATGTGTTTCTTTAGTTTAGTGTGTAGATTTTTAGGTGTCGTTAGCATTGTTGGATATCAACCTTACATCTAAGCATTATTGAGTTATACAACATTTTATGTATCTCTCATAATCTGTTTCATTCTTTCTTGACCACAAGATATCATAATCCATTGCATTCTTTATGGTTATATATGTTACACAATCTTGGATAAAATTTAACACCAAAAACGTTAGCTGTTAAGGCGAGAGTGTCTTATACTTACATAGTTTACATTACTATTGCACTTAAATGATGTTGGATTTTGCTTCACAATAAACCACTCAGTGCTTAGATGATTCATAGAAAAGATGTCATTTATATTCACTACAAAAATTGGGAATGAATTTAGCACACTGTAACCCATTGAAACAACCCCAATCATCAAAGCATAGGCATGAACTATTGGTTTCTTAGGTATCAAAGCTTAAAAATACTGCAAATGAGAGAGTCAATTCCCTAACATCCTAACAAAGTGCAGAGAACTGGTTAGCCCAGTTGGTTCCTTTTTTTTTTTTTTTTAATATAGAAAGTTTCAATATAGAAAGGGGTAGAAGGGGCCAATCAATCAATGTGTGGTAACTCTATCTGGGTGTGATCGAAGGAGTCTGTAATTATTGGAAGCTGAACAATAGGAGTCCGTAATTGTTGGAAAGTCAGACAATAGTTCAACACTATACATGGATCCAAACACTTTTTTAAGACAGACTTGAGTCATAGTTTGATTTCAGTACTGAGACTCCAACATGTCTTTTTAGCCATTAAAGATGGCAGTAACTAGTCAAAACTTGAAGTTTCATATAATTTTGAGCACATGCCTCATGATTCCTATTAGGGTTGCTTGCCTTGCTTATCTATCTATTCTAAGAATTGGTAAAACATCACAAATATTGACCATGCTCAAAGTTCAATTTTAACCAACTGTAAATGAGTAGATGAAATAATGGTGGAACATACCGTGGAGAAAAAGATTTGACCTTAAATTAGGAGACATGTCCCAAGTCACCACCACTTCATTAGAAAAAGAGAAACATACGAATATTTTAATTTAGACTTTCATAGTGGCTTCTCTTTAATCTCCACCAGTGTCCTATCAGTTGGTGTTTTGGTGGGTTGTCCTTGTCTTTATGGATAATTGAAAGCACTACTCTTCCATAAAATCTATTTTATGCCCATCTAATTGATGATCTAGTAATAAGCACATTGAAGGACAGACTAAGCCCTACTCACCAAGCATTGTTTCCATATAGTCTCCACTAAAGCCCTTTTGAGTTTAAATTCAAGTTGAAAGAGCTAAAATTCCAATTCTAGCCTCTGCAAAAAATTGGTTGCACCTCTCAAGTGTATATATATACTTATGCGACAATATGCAGGGAAATTCTATTTTCACATACCAAATATTTTCTGTGCATATCATTTCTCAAGGCATACACGTAATGAATTTAAAATCTTATCTTCTACTTAATACACAACTTATCATACCAAAAATGCCCTCATCTCCTTCCTTCTTCAAACCCTAATCCTAACCCCAGCTCACCATTTTTCATTCACCGCCGACCAATCAACGCTGGAAAATTATGTCATCATTGTCATTCTCATCCCTTTACCATCACTAGTTGCCATTACCAGCCCATCCCATCCCATCCCATAACATTCTCTATTCACAGTTTTAAAAAAATTCTATAATTTTCCAAACATAAACTGATGTTTTGTGAGTGTGTGCATTAGAGAAAGAGAGAGGGGGGGATGCCCTCATCTCCTTCCTTCTTCAAACCCTAATCCTAACCCCAGCTCACCATTTTTCATTCACCGCCGACCAATCAACGCTGGAAAATTATGCCATCATTGTCATTCTCGTCCCTTTACCATCACTAGTTGCCATTACCAGCCCATCCCATCCCATCCCATAACATAACATTCTCTATTCACAATTTTAAAAAAATTCTATAATTTTCCAAACATAAACTGATGTTTTGTGAGTGTGTGCATTAGAGAAAGAGAGAGGGGGGGTTAAATACTTGTGATATTGTTGGTCAACTTAGACACATGTCTGAGTCTCTAAATTTGTGATCAAGTTTGCCAGATTCAATGAATTTCAAGTCCTTCAAGAGAATCACATAAGGTTTTAGAATTGCATCCACTTGCACCATTCCCAAAACTGTCCATTATATTTATCCCTCACTTACTCACAACTCAAAACATCTAAACCAGATTCTTGACTTTCCAAGAAATTATGAAATAGACCCAAAATTCATTAATCATTCACATTTTAGCTAGTATTCATCGAAACAAAAAACAAAATAATCAACAGGGTACAAAATCTTGCAACCCAACATGTGGTGACAGTGGCGGTGGAGAAAGTTCACCGGAGGTGGAGGCTAATGACCACAGACGGCACAATTGTGTTTTAGTTTGAGAATTAGGGTTTAGGTTGAAAACATGAGGATATTTTAGTATTTTTATTTTAGAATAAAAATGTAATATAAGAAAAATTCATTAAGTGTGTGGATTGAGGAGATTTGGTGTGTGAAAATAGAATTTCCCCAATATGCATTATTGCTCAAATTCTCAAAATGACTGAAGGACCCCTAATTGTCGTGTGGGTGGGTGTTGTTATTATTGTTATTATTTAAGTGAAGTTATAAATGAACAGATTTTTCAATAGATTTTATTACTACTAGATACAAAAAAAAAAAGAAAAAAAGAAAAAAGAAAAAAAGAATTTATATTAATAAATATATGTGGGACTCATGCCTTTATGTTTAGCGGTTAGAAAATTCAGTAAAAAATCCTTGTATGTAACAATCCAAAAGCGACACCACAATATCTGGCTTGTTGGGGGTGCATATTATTTTTCAGAAACAAAAATAATAATCAATGTATTTGGTTTCATTTTTTTGAATTCAGTTTTTTATTTTTTGTGTTTTTTTTGTTTTTAGTAAATATTTTTTAAATTTTAAGTAATTTTTTTACTTTTTTAAATGCACTTTACTTAGATGTATCTAAATAGTAAAATATTTATGAAACAATATTTTAAAAAATTAATAAATACACAAAAATATGAAAATATATTAAATTTTCTTATTTTTTGGTATTTAGTGTATTTTTTAAAGATTTTTTTCACAAATATTATACTTTTTAAGTGTGTCTATGTTAAGTGTGTCTAAAAATTAAAAAAAATTACTTAAAATATTAAAAAAATTAATTAAAAACATTAAAATATGAAAAATAAAAAAGTAAATTTTTTTGAAAATTGGAACCAAACAAGCTGAATAAGTACGGAATGCTTGCTTGACTAATTTTTTTTTTTTTTAAAGTTTAAAAAAAAAAAACTATTTGTTGAAACACTATTTTTTATGAAATATTTTTAAGTTAATTGCAGAATTTTGAAAATTGTTTTTGCACAAATATGAAAACGATGAGTGTTCTATATTTTTCAGCCTTTTTTTTTTTTTGTGAAAACAAGAAAAACAAACAAAAAATGAAAACAATGCCAAACAGATCATATATTAGCTCAAAAACCAAGTTGGACACCTTTGAAGGAAAAAAAATAAAATAAATTGGACATCTAAATGATATGTGGATTTCTCCCAAAATAGTGGCTCAAACTGGTATTTTCAGCTGATTACCCAGATAAGCATATCCTATATCATCTGGATCCAATTACGCACATCAGAGAGCCTTTGCAAAACAAATATCAATAAAATGAATGACTTGAAACGTAATGGCTCTCTTTCATAAAAATATTTGAGAGGTGACGGTTCTCATTCAAGGTGCTTTATTTTTTTAGATAATAAATAAATAAATTGAAGGGGTTGACTAGCATGATGGTAACCTTCTGCGGTATGATCCTAGGAGTCCATATTCACTGGGAGTTAGACAAGACATAGACGGGCTCGACAATGAAGGCATTACAACAGGAGAATTTTTTTTGTTCGTTTTTATATTGATGTAAAATAGGGATGCAAAGAGTACAAAATGATTACACCAATAAAAGGCGAACGTGGAAGTTGCATCATCGTTAAAAAATGCATCTCAACTAGGTTAGCGCATTTGAGAATTAGCCAATCTTGTGAACACCAAAGCCAAACAAAACAAAAAGTGCCAAACAAAAATGATTTCAACACAGGAATCCGCAAGCACTCTCTCCATCAAGGGTAAAGTCATAAAACTGATAACTCAAAATTAATGAGTAAGAGTCTCACTTTCGAGTGTCACCTCGAGAATTTAAGGTGTATATCTTATAATAAGGATTCTCTTGCAACATGCAAAGTAAATATTTCAAAACTTGGGAAACTTTTGCCCCAATAATTAAGGGGCATTATGATAATTTTCATTGAAGACTACACTCTTACTTTTAGCTTGATTAGATATGTTAATCCACTAACTCCTTAGACTTAGTGCCCCAACAAACAGAAAAGTGGTCTCCCTCAACTTTTTCTAGTTTTTGAATTTAAAACTATAAAAGCATATAAAGATTGCATTCTTTGCAATAAACTATCAACCTTATTTTCATCTCCAAGGCTGCCACTACTAGTAAATTTAATCTCACAATATACTAAAGGAAGCATCATTTGTTCTATTCTCTCTCCTCATAGAGCAAAAAGAGATCCAACTTGGGAAGATCAAATTTGTAGAAACATGGGTGTCATGATGCTTAAGAACATTAGTCTCCTCTTCCTCATCATTTCATCATCACTTCTATCAACTTCATTTGCAGGTGGGTATTTAAATATTAAATGATTTCTTGTATTTCTTTGAAATTTAGACTTCATATTGTTGCGGTAGTGTAGACCCTGCTAAGTGCTAAACCACTCAACGAATTTTGAAGTAAAATGCATTTTGGTATTTTGATGTGAGGGAGGTGGCTATATCTAAAAATCTGTAAGTAACTTTTTTATAATAACAAAAGCCACAGCAGCCGTGTTGTCCTAGTTTGTGGTGAATCACATAATAAACCATGTGTTCTTTTTATCTTTTCTATATGTTTGTTTCTTTCAGCGTTTCATATTTCACTAATCTTAGTTAGGTATTACAAATTCCTAATACATATATATGTTAGCGATATTGTCTTATATTAATATGTGTCTCGATACTGTTATTTAAAAGCACTGTCAACAGATGCCATATTGCTTTGATTAACAAAGAGAAAGAAGAGCAAATGAACTTGATATGCAGTCAATTGGATTTGAGTTGTGTTACATGTTGTACAAAATTCAAATAAAAAAGCTAGGAAAGACTCATATTTCTACATTTAACATGGCCAAACAACAATCATCCGACAAACCTTAAAAGTCACATGATATGCAAATTGTGTTTCATTTTTTGGGTTGTTTTTTCTTGAATTTGTTATTATTAAGTTTTTTCAGTTATTAATCATATGCTTAAATATGTTGCCTTTGCAGGCCGACGATTGGTTAACAACTTGGCCAAGGATGTGGATGCAACAAATCATGAGGTTTTAACTCATCATTATCATTATCATCTCTCTGATATCACCGCTATGCCCAATATTTATAACCAATATTTATAAGGCCAAGAGTCATATATACTAAACAAAAGCTTCAAGCACGGCTCATATATTGAAAGAAAAGAAACCAAAATACAATTTCAGTCTCAAAATAATTCTAATCCCTCTTCGTTGTTTTTTTCATAGGAAGTGATGACGGAGCAATTACACGACAAGAAAGAAGGGACTACAACAATTGCAATAATAATACACGAAAGGCTTCTGAGAGCAAACACGAAAGACTATGGAAATTATGATCCAGCACCAGCACTTGTCAAGCCTCCTTTCAAACTCATACCCAACTGAAAGCATCCATGCTTACTATATCTATATTATGTCATGTGATAAGTTTTGGAGATGTTATTAGGGTTGGGAAAGGCCAGTTATGTGTTATATATATATAGATATGTGTGTGTGTGTGTGTGTGGTTTTCTGAGAAGTATGTGTGTGTATCAGTTATATCACATGTTTATAGTAATCAATCAAAAGTCCTATATCCTATATATCAATATGTATTTACGGGGACATAATGCATTTGTTCTTAAATGAATGAAATAATACTGTAAAACATAAAAAATAACAAAAATGAATTTGCTCTGTTTAGAATAAAAACAATAACACATCAAATGAACAATTAAAAAACAGCTAAAATTTACATTATATAAAAATTAAAACACGGGAAAAAAAAAATCAAAACAATGAAAAAACTAGCTGAATCAAATAATTTAAAAATTAAAACCAAAAATGAAAACCATAAAACACCCTAATTTTTTTTAAACAATGAAAAAACCAAAAATGGGGGAGAGGGGGGGACTGAATGAACAGCAGTAAATAATTAAATTAACGGTTCAAAACAACAACTTAAAATTTTGTAAACAAAAGAAAGTCCCTATACTTTAATTCTCAATTTAGTCATTTCATTCAAGTTTTTGTTAATTTTTTCTACATGTACACCTTAAGGGATTGCCAGGTGTCTCGAAATCGTTGATTTAAACTCCAAACTGGAATTATACTTAAAAAAAAAAGAAAAGAAAGAGAAAAAAAAGGAGAAGGATAAATTAACAGCAAAAACAATCAAATTTCACAATTGGAAACAACAAATAAATAAATAAAACATTTAAAAAAATGATAAATTAAACGTGCTTAACCTCATAAATAATAGATGTGTTGGCTTTTTTGGCTTTCGAATGTTATATTTGTAATTGTGAGCGTGCCAGTAAGGATCAATCAATCCTTACAGAATGTTAATTGCCAGCCAATTATCAGACGTTTGTGTTTTAGTTCTTTCAGTCTTAATAAAGATGACTTTTATTGGTGGCTTTGTTTAGTAGAATTAAGCAAACAATGATTAAATGAAGAACAGTTGTAGTATTTCATTAAGCAAAATGAAAGACTTACAAAGATCTGAATCAGTTTCGTAGGGGTTTACAGCAACAAGCTACTTGAAAACTACTCCTATAAACGACATGCAGTGCAGGAATTTGAAGTACAGAAATGTAAAGAACAAGAAATGTAAAACTGGAAAAGAAATAAAGTAGAATAAAACTGGTTTTCAGTATCTGAGTCTGGGCCTTCTTCTGGGGCCTTCTCTCCTATTTATACTTCTCAAGGATAACCATCGAATTGCACTTCTAATCGTCGAACTGCTCATCCATGATCGCTGATCATGTTGCCTTATAGTTAGCTCCACTATGCCAATACCTGCAGTTAGGCTTCCCTCATGATTTTTGAATTTAAATGTGAGTAACCGTTGAAACCACATCACTTTGTATCTCCTTGCTGATCCAGTACTACGCAGATCTTATGAAAACCAATATTAACTGCCACGTGTACGATCACGATCGAATGTTTGAGTTGTCTTCCCATATTACCCTCAACCTGCCACGTGTTGAATTGTAACTGGCTTATACAAAATATGTAGCCAACATTACCTCCCGCACTAATATACCCAATACTTGGTGATATTAGTGGATCAAGGTCTTTTATCCACGTCTTAGAACGTGCATGGGCTTTGCATTCTTCTAAAAATGCAACTGTCATTCATCATTTGCATTAAATTCTCTTTTAATCCTTTGAACATCCCCACCATCTTAGTATTCGAACAGACTGATACATCTTTTATGGCCAAATCAATTCCCTCTTCTATTGATCGAGTATACGAGGAGTCATCTGATGATGCTGTTCTTCCTCGAAAAAACCTACATGCATTGATTAGCCACCTTTACCCACCTTCCTATATTCAAGTCATGGAAGCTTTTGCAAACTATCAACCTTTGGATTATGCACTTGCTCTAACCCAAAATTTTGCAAAAATGGACATTGGAAGCACTTCCCCTAATCCACAATCTTCTGCATGGGATGAGGCTGTGGCTTCTTCTTTTTATGGGGCTTCTGGTTGGAGAAGCTGGTCAGAACCTGAGGCATGTGAGTTAAGGAAGCGAGTTAATCATCACTTTGTCGAGTTCACTGATCCTCTAGAATTCCCTTTTGATGCTCAAAGTTCGGTGGTTTATCCTTACGTGCCCATCGACCGCCGACGCAGTTTAGAGGATAATCTGCTTGTAGCATGGTACACATCATCCATGCCTACAAAGATAGTCCAAGCTACCCGACGCCCAGAAGAGGCACAAGGGTATAACCCATCGTTCTTAGCCCAGAAGGTGAGGCTTTGCTCTTCTGACTGGCTTGATTATGTTAATGCCCCTCGGTTTTCCCCTTTTTTCGAAATGGAAGCCTCTATACCTCCTCCTCCGCAAAATCCCTACTGGACAGAGAGACTGAGGCTTACCCTCTCTGCAGACAAGGTTTTTCCTCCTTATAAGCCTCTACCTCCCCCTACTCCAGCTCAGCGAAAGCAAGCCCAACTTCTGCTTGTGGCCTTTTCTCACTTGCCTTTCAATGTTCTTGAAGATGATGTTCCTCTCAAGAACCTTCGATGGGCTTGTGATATTATGGCTCAGGGTCACGTCCTCAACCCCATTGCCCAAGCAGAACTCCAAATGTTTTTGGACCAACTCCCGTTGCTTTTTCATTGGCATCGGACTTCTGTTGCTACCACCCAATCTTTGAACCAACTCTCATCCCTTCGAGTTCATACCCAGTACGAAGTAGAGAACCTCATCGAAGAATACAATGACTTCAAGAATAAAGACTCTGCGTATTGAGATGACTTGGATATGGATGAGTTGGAATAAGGGTTAAAAGAAACAGCGTTCGAAAGAAAAGCTGAAGAACTCTTTTATCAAGTGAAAGCACATCAACTTCAACAGCCAAACCTGGAGAAAATAGAGGATAGAATAAAAAAGGAACATAAATTTATTAACCATAACTGGACTAAATTCTAAGATCTTATTATTTATTCTATTCCTTACTTTTATGAACTCGAATTTGTACCCAAAGAGGGCCTTTTGATATAATTACTGTTGTTTCAATACAATTAAGACTTTTCTCTTTGTTTGGTATGGTTTGACTTTATCTCCGTTTGTCTTTACAAGCAAATTTAGGGCTTCGAACTCAATAATCTTATTCTTCGAATCTGGATTCAATCATCTCTAATGAAACACTGAAAAACCAACATGAACTTCTCCAATTCATGGAATCCAGTTGACAACTTTTGCTGATTTAGAATCATTGCTTTGAATTTAACAATCTTACCCTTTAAAGCTTGTTTTAATCATATCCAACATAAGGCCATATGGTTAGTATGATCAATCAGTTTTAAATTGACCATTTTTGCTTCGAACAACAGTCCATACTTTCAAAAATATAGAAGCCCCTATCAAGGGCTACACTGTTTTAATTCGAAAAAACAATCTCTTCTGTATATTATCAAACCAACTATTGGTTTTGATACTTTGAACAACAATTTTCACCCTTAAGGGATCTCAAGTTTTGCTTCGAAGGATTTGTTCTCACTAAGAAACCATAAAACAGGTTCTTAATCCTTTTGAAATACACAAATGTCTAAACATTCTTTCACCGTGAGGCATGGAATGTGCTTCGAAGTAAGCTTTCAACATTCGAAGCCGTTTGTCATTTCATTTTGACGCCAAGGCTTCGAAGCCAAATATTTTATTTCGAAGCTGACATTAGTATTTGAGATGTGTTTCCCTCCAGAAATTATCAATATTGAGGGAAACTCTTCGCATCCGTACTTTTAGTACTTCTTTACGAATTCCACGATATATTTTCCAGACACAAAGGTTTTAAAACCCTTTTATTTCGTGCTTTGAATTCACTCGTTTGCTCAACACACAAACCCTTCCCCTCTATTAACCCTCTCTTTCTTGCTGCTTGCCACCAATGGATTCTTCTTCTCTGAAAGCACCAACTGGCTATCGTATAAGCCAAACAATGGCTTTGAAGAGATGTATTGAGTAAGAGATCGCCAAATTTACAGCTGATGGGTCAAGTGCCACAGACGGATGCCTCTTTGGTCCTCGACATAGCGACAAACAAGAATATGTCCTTGGTCCCATCTTTCGAGAAGCTCCCCCTCAACTTCCAACTTTATACTCTTGTTTGGAGGACCACTTTCTTCTCTATGAAGGGGGGCTCGATTGGGGAAATTGGAGAATGAACCGACCTCATCGTTGCTGGCCGACATTGAGGGCTAAGTGGGAGGAATGGTATGACAGAGTTGTGCCTACAAGAGAATGTGACCTGCAAGAGTTTTGTATTCTCGACGCCCTTCGTCTTTCCAGGTTTATTATTCCTGAAGACCCTTTTTTGATTCCTGCAGCTCTTTGTTTTTGGAATATGGCTTTTAACTTTTTTCAGTTTCGGTGTGGTATGATGGCCCCCACCGTTCTTGTAACAACCCTCGTCACTGTTTACCGATTAACCACTGATTTCTACTAAACTGAGACTGATTATGATTGGTAACTGAATTGATTGAAGTACTGAACTGACTAATTGAAATCTGGAATTGAATTGATTAAGTATATCTGTTTAATTGTATGACTATCTGTTGACTGTTTGATTATCTGGTCATGCCTTTGTGTTTAAATTGCCAATTGAAGGCCTTATCGGTGGCCAAATCTGAAATTGATTGATGATTTGTGTTCATTGGAATTATTATGATTTTATGGTGTATTTATCTAAAATGTGATTTGGTATGATTAAATTAGGCTAAATGGTGTTAAATTGCATAGTTTTACTTAATTACATTAGTGCCACGTAGTGGCCACTACCTTATACATTTTGAGACTTGTATACATTGAACCAAAACATTTCCTCAGCCTTATTTGAGAGCTCTAGCCGACCAAGAGAGAGTGAAAGCGAGAGTAGTGAATTCAACATAGAGACTTGGCTTGAATCTTGAGGAATTGAAAGCTTAAGTGCATTATTGAGCCTCTAGACTTGTAATTGAGGAACCTAGGTATGAATTTCCTTCTCTTAATTGTGTATTTAAGTCCCTTCTAGCATGGATCATGGTAGATTAAAGAGTTAAGTCATGAATTGGTTCAAAAGTGTTGAATTGAAGCTTAATTATTGCATGTATGGTATA